AAGTAAATGTTCAATAAGGTACTTCATATGCTACAGAGCCTCAGTCCTCTAAGAAAAAGGGAAGTAAATGCTAACTGATGGAAGTTCTCTGTACAGACCCGGGGTCGGCACCAGCCGCTCAGAATGTGGGTCTCCTGAAAGCCTACGGCAGACAGGCACCAAAGTACATGTGAGTAAGGGAGTAAGCTGGGGGCCCACACTGCTGTGTTCAGAGTACAGCAAAGAGGTACATTTCCAGTGAAAGCTACTCCCTATTTATTTTCTATACCTGATTTCACCAGCCAGTACTAAGAATATGAACATCTATCTATCTATAGGTAGAGAAGGATATGAAGGCTATAAGACAAACCTCTTGACTAGCAGTTCCAGTGAGAGTGGGGGGTGAGACACCTCTAAGAACGAATGTGTACCTGAAACCTGGCTGTCGAAATACGGTGGTACCGTACATAGGGCTCACTAGTATCAAAGATCATGTTCCTTACTTAACAAAGGAGAGCATTTTATTATTTCTCAAAGTGATAAAGACTGAAAGATATGATAATTCCCAGTGTCATACAAGGCGTAAAGAAACGGGAAACCAATTTGGCAATATGATTCAAAAGATTGAAAATGTTGCAAACCTTTCGATTCAGCAATTCTGCTTCCGGAAATTTATCATAAGGAAATAATGTTGAACTGTGCGAAGATTTAGCTCTAAGGATTTTCACTACAGCATTTTTCATATATTGATTCAGTAAGTGTTGGTACAGACATAAAACGGAATCCTATGCAACCCCTAGTAATTATACTGTAGAAGACTATGGAGTAACATGGAAACACGTTCTCAATAACTTAAGTAAAAAGTAAAATTACAGGTTATACTTCCAGGATGCTCTGAAGGGCTTGCCCACTACTTTATCACTAGAACTTGGGTAAATTATAACAGACGTAATTTTTTTCTGGACTTGTAGGAAAGTATGAGAAATCTCCAGGGAAGCCACATACACACAAACATTAGAGAAAGCCAGGGTTATCTGGCAAATGCACATGTAAGACACATATATGTCCAGAATTATCTGGAAAAATGCAGATATAAACCCTGGAATCAGAATTAGAATGCCTCATCATCCCGGTTTGCCCAGAACTGTCCCAGTTTTACCCTGGAAGTCCCATATCCCAGGAAATCCCAAGCAGACAGTTGGTCACCCTATCAGATATCCAAAATTTGGTCCAACCTCACGGTGGAGAAACTGAATCATACATATCCTGCAGGGGCCACAGAGGTAGCGAAAACTATCTCAGATTCCTAGCACCCCATGGTTCTGGACTGGAGCAAATGCAATCTTTCCCACGTGAAAATATTCCCAATTTAGGACCTAATGATTCCCACAGATGAGGTTCAACCAAAAATCAGTTACCAATCAAAAATTAGCAAACATACAAAGAAAAGAAGGCATCACAAGCTGTCCATAGAAACAACAAATTTAGATCCACTGGATTTCAGAAAGTGAAATGAACATAAACAGAATTTAAAATAATTTAAGTTTAGAATTTAGGTTTGGATTTCTGGGTTCCAGTCTGCCATAAGAGAAGCTCAGAAATCATCACTCTGTCCTAATAAGAAGTAAAAAGCTAAACAAACAGAAAAATCAACTCTTCTCAGATCTGTAAGAAAAGTGAGTCACCCACTGCACCTAAAACTGGGAAGTCCAAAAGGCTCTTGCAAAGAACTACTCTGATCAGAGCAGAAACCAGTGTGCTAAAACCTCTGTGCACACCAGCCCCGGGGTAGGCAAACCCAGACTGTAATGGATGGACTGCTGGAGGTTCAGTGTGGCCGAGTTTGAGAGAGAAAAACGTCAGGGGACCCAGCCATCGGGCCCCTAGACTCTCGTGAGTTTTACTTTCAGGAGCTCACTAGATCCTCACAGCAATTATCAGAGGAAAATCCCCCTGTGCTTCCAGCTGGGGAAGGGGAAAAGGAATCATTTTGAAAGACACCAGAGCATTCTGTTCTTTTAAAAAAGTCTGTCTTCAGGAAAAACAATTTAACCAAGGTATAACCAATTGGGATTTTATCAGAACCTAACCGACCTGAGGGGAGAGAAATACCCAACTGCAGCCCATTCGGCCGCCCTGTCCCACTAAAAGGGCGGGGGAGACAGAAAAATATGTGAAGCCTGTCCAAGGCAAAGGCCCACAGAAAGGCGGAGACCCAGAGCCCCGGGGGTACCCAGCATGGTAAGTACAGTTAATGGCATTGTGTTAGACATTTGACAGCTGTTGAAAGTCAATCTTACATGTCCTCACCGTGAAAAAGAAACGGTAGTTAGGTGAGGCGGTGCAGGCATTAACTAACCCACTGAGGTGGCCATTTTGTAAGACAGGAGTGTATCATATCATTGTGATATACACCTGAAACTTCCACAATGTTCTATGTCAATGATATCGCAATAACACAGGGAGGGAAAAAACTCAGAAGGAAAGGGGAGGAAGAAACACAGAGAAATCTTGGGGATTGAGGGACGGGTTCCATATTTTGATGCGGTGTTGCTTACACAACTGTTTATCTGTCCAAATGCACAGAACTTTGGCGGCGCCTGGCCGGCTTCAGGCAGTAGAGCATGTGATTCTTGATCTCGGGGTCAGGAGTTCAAGCCCCATGTTGGGCGTGGAGCCTACCATAAAAAAGTGCATAGCACTACATATTAAAAAGGGTACTTTACATATTTTTTTTAAAGATTTATTTATTTGAAAGAGAGAGCATGTGAGCAGGGGGAGCAGCAGAGGGTGAGAGGGCAACCTTAAGCAGACTCCTTGCTGAGTGTGAGCCCGATGCACGGCCCAGTCCCAGGACCCTGAGATCAGACTGAGCCAAAAATCAAGAGTCTGACGCTCAAACAACTGAGCCATCGAGGCACCCCAGATACTTTACATATTTTTAAAAATAGTATCCACCACACAGTAAATGCTACACAGTACAAGCAATTATTAATGTTGTCGTTGGCATTAAGTTGGGTGCTGAAAAGACAATTTTAAGTAAATACAGATATGGTCCTATCTTGAAGGAGCCTACAGTCCACTGATGAAGATTAGGCATTAATCGTGTAATTATGGCTATGACAAATGCCACAAGGAAGAGCGTTATGGTGTTCTGAAGGCTTCGATCTGAAGGAAGAGTAGATGCTAGACACTGGAAGAAGAGGTGGAGGAGGCAAGAGGAGATACTCCATGCAAATGGGATAGACGTACAAAGCCCACGGCGGAAGAGAAAACGGCATTTTGAAGAAACTCTGAAGAACGTCAGTAGGACATCTATTCACACACATACCTACGACGAAGCATCACTTCACACTAATTAGGACGGTTAGTACACAAAAAAAAGTGTTGGCAAGGATCTGAAGAAACTGTGCTGCTGGCAGGACTGCAAAATGGTAGAACCGCTATGGAAAACACTACGGAAGCTCCTCAGCAAGGTCCTGTAAGATGCAGCAACTCCACTTCTAGAAATACTAGGTACACGAGTATCCAGCTGTATATATACCCAGATACACTCCCAAAGGAGTGTACCTCTGCACCCCCCATGTCCACAGAAACGTTACGTACAACAGCCACAAGGCAGACACAATCCCAGGGGTCCATCAGATGAATGGATAAATAAAATGTGGTAAACACATATAAAGGCATATTACTTGGCCTTAAAAAGGAAGGAAATTCTGATACAGGCTACAATGTGGATGAACCCTGAGGGCATTATGCTAAGTAAAATAAGTTACTCACAAAAAGACAAGTAAATTATTCCATTTATATAAGGTACCTAGAGTAGTCAAATTCACAGAAACGGAAAGTAGGATGCTGACTGCCAGGAGCTGGGGGAGGGAGGAAAGGGAGGCTGTTGTCTAATGGGTACAGAGTTTCAGTTTTACAAGATGAAACAAGTCTGGAAACTGCTTGCTCAACAATGTGAATATACTTAACACTACTGAACTACACGCTCTAGACACTGTTGACATGGTATATTTTATGTTACGCATTTTTTACAATTAAAAAAAAAACCTGTTCACACACACCCACACACAGACTGAGATGTAGTCATATGACTGCAGAATGCTTCTCCTCCCCCCACACCTCACCACCTATTTACAACAGTTCCTTTTAACCAGTACATTATATCCCCTTTTCAAGGAAAAGTTACGAGGCATATCCAGCAACAAGAAGACAAATTGGAAGAGGCAGAGCAAGCGTCATAACCAGACTCAGAAATGGCAGAGATGCCGCAATGATCAGACCAGAAAGTAAAAACAACAAGGACTCGCATGGAAGGGCTCTAAGGGATAAACTAGACAGCACACAAGAACAGATAAGCAATATAAGCAGAGACATGGCAATTCTTTAAAAAAAAATAAAAGAAAGAAAAGAAATACAAAACAGAAAAAGAAATGCTGCAATCAAAAAAACCACGGAGAAAACAAACACTGTAACAGAAATGAAGAATGCCTTTGATGGGCTTATCAGAAGACTGGACACAGCAGAGGAAAGAATCTCTTTATGTGAGGATTTCTCAATAGAAACCATCAAAACTCAAAAGCAAACAGAAAAAAGACTGGGGGGAAAAAAACCACCATAGCCAAGACCAGTGGAAAAGCTACAAAAGGTGTGACATACACATAACAGGAATACTAGAAAGAGAAGACTGAGAGCAGGGAAGAGAGGAACATCTGAAACAGTAATGCCAGGTTTATAAGCCAAATTGATGTCAGACACCAAAGCACAGATTCGGGAAGCTCAGAGAACACCACACAGGGAAAATGCCTAGGAATCACTTTCAACTACATAAAATCAAATATAAAGGAAAAAAAATCCTGAAGGAAACCAGAGGGGGAAAAAACACTTCACCTATAGAGAAAGAAAGACAAAAACTATACCCAACTTCTCCTCAGAAACCACACAAGAAGAAAGTGAAATATTTAAAATCTTGAGAAAGACCCACCAGCCTAGAATTCTGTGTCCTGTGAACTTACCCGCCAAAAATGAAAGACGAAGACTTTCTCAGGCAAACAAAATTGAGGAAATCTGTCAACAGTAGACATACCTATAAGAAATATTAAAAGAAGTTCTTTGGAGAGAAAGAAAATGATATAGGTCAGCAACTCAGACCCACACAAAGAAAGAGAATCAAAGAAGCAACAAGTAAAGGTAAAATAAAAACTTTAATTTTGGGGCACCTGGGTGGCTCAGTGGGTTAAGCCTCTGCCTTCGGCTCAGGTCATGATCCCAGAGTCCTGGGATCGAGCCCCGCATCGGGGTCTCTGCTCGGCAGAGAGCCTGCTTCCTCCTCTTTCTCTGCCTGCCTCCCTGCCTACCTGTGATCTCTGTCTGTCAAATAAATAAATAAAACCTTAAAAAAAAAAACAAAACTTTAATTTTTCTTATTCTTGGGTTGCCTGGGTGGCTCAGTCGGTTAAGCATCTGCCTTCAGCTCAGGTCATGATCCCGGGGTCCTATGATCGAGCCCAATATCAGGCTCCCTGTGTGGTGTTCTCTCTCTCTCTCTCTCTCTCTCGCTCTCAATAAATAAATAAATAAATAAATGAAATCTTTAAAAAAAAAATTTGAGTGCCTTAAAAAAAATTGCCCTTAATTAGCCAGGCTAATTAAAAAAGGGAGAGGACACAAATTGCTAATATTATAAGTAAAAGAGGGGATATCACTACAGATCCCATGGACATTAAAAGTATAATCAAGGAATACTATCAAGAACTCCACGTCCACAAATTTGAAAATCCAGACGAAATACACCATTTCCTTAAAAGACATAATCTGTGAAAACTTAAACAAGAAAAAACAGACAATCTGACTAGTCCTATATCTATTAAAGAAATGCAGGGGGCACCTGGGTGGCTCAGTGGGTTAAAGCCTCTGCCTTCAGCTCAGGTCATGATCCCAGGGTCCTGGGATCGAGCCCCGCATCGGGAATCTCTGCTCAGCGGGGAGCCTGTTTCCCCCTCTCTCTGCCTACTTGTGATCTCTGTCTGTCAAATAAATAAATAAAATTTAAAAAAAAAAAGAAAGAAATGGAATCAGTAATTAAGAACATTATAAAACAGAAAGCACCAGGCCGAGGTGGGTTCACTGGTGAATTCTACCAAACATTTAAATAAGAAATTATACCAGTTCTCTATAATCTCTTTCATCAGAAGGCAGAAGCAAAGAGAATACTTCCTAACTCATTCTATAAAGCCAGAATTAACCGAATACCAAAAGCAGGCAAAAACAATACAAAAAAAAGAAAACTACAACCAATATCTCTCAGGGACACTGACACAATAATCTTCAACAATGTACTAGCAAACCGAATCAAACAATGTATAATAAGAATTAAACACCACAACTATGGGGGATTTATTCTAAGTACACAAAGCTGTTCAGCATTCAAAAACCAACTAATGCAATCAATCACATCAACAGGCTAAAGAAAAACCACATGGTCATATCAATCAATAAGCACACACACAAAAAAAGCATTTGAGAAAATCCAACACCCATTCACGACAAAAACTCTCAGTAAACTAGGAACAGAGGGGAACTTCCTCACATTGATAAAGAATATCTACAAAAAAACAATGGTGAGAAACTCAAAGCTTTCCCAATAAGGTGGAGAACAACACAAGGCTGTCCCCTCTCACTGCTGCTTTTCAACATTGTACAGGAAGTCCTTGCTAATGTAATAAGACAAGGAAATAAACAGTATACAGATTGGGAAGGAAGAAATAAAGTAGTTGAAATGTTTAAAGGAATGAAAAAGGAAGCAATGAGACATGATCTAAAATAACCAGAGAGGATCAAATAAAACGTTCAGAAAAGGAAGACCTAATCATTAAAACTGCATACAATAATATGAACACAACATCAGCCAAAAAAAAGGAGTTAATGAACTGGGTCTAATAGCTCAAGAACTCTGTGAAATCTTTTGTAGCACAGAGAGACCTGGAGATATAAAGGAGAAATTAAGAGAAATGGAGGATAGATGAGGAGGACCAGTTTAATTGGAATTCCAAAAAGATAAGAGAAAATGGAAAAGATCTGAAGACATATTGACAGATTTTGCCAGAACTGCTATAAGATCCACAGATATAAGAAGCATAATATATTCCAAGCAGGATAAATAAAAAAGAAATCCACACCTGGGCACATTTTAGTAAAACAGAGAAGGGAGTTGAACAGCAGCCAAAAACGAGACAGGTACTTTCAAAGGAACAACGATCAGACTGATGGCAGGTGTCTCACAGCAACCATGGCGTCAGAAATCAATGAACTAATATATTTAAAGTACTGGAAGAAAAATACAGAATTAGATTCCAGACATCCAACACAGAATTATACATCCAGAAAAACTGTCTTTTAAGAATTAATGTTGAATATGGTATTTTAAAAAGAACAAAACCTAAGTTTTAAAACCAACTGAAGTCAAAAAATAACTTCTAAAGGATACTTATCAGATTAAGTGGAAAATGACTCAGAAGGAAGGTCTAAGAAGAAACAATGAAAAAAACACAAAAATACAAGTAAAATAAACTATGTCTTTTCAAAAAAAGAACAGCAATGACATCAAACACTTTTACAGTACTTATTAACTGCTAGGTATAGTTCTAAATGCTTTTAGGCACTGCATTTCTCACTTAAAAGCCTTAGCCTTATGACAAGGTCTTTTTACTGTCTGCACTTACAGATGAGGAAATGGAGGTACGGGAAAGGAAGCACCTTGCCCACCATTACTCATCCGCTAGGAGCAGAGCGGGGATTCAAACCAGGGTGCCAGGTTCCAGCCCATGGTTTAAACACCAAGCTGTGTCTGCCTATTTGGGGGAGGAAAGAAAAAATTTAGGGAAGGAAAAAAAAAATACTTTTATCGGAAGGATGACCAGGGCTGAAGTACTGTAAAATGCTGCTAAAACTTCATACTTGATTAGTTTAGGTAAGCATGGTGAAATTTCAAGGGCAATTGCTAAAAGACCAGAAACAAAGGTGGGAAGAGGTCGAGGCAAGACACTACACCTCAAATCATTCCCCTGATAAGAGGAAAAAGAAAAGGCAGAATAAAATAAAAGAGATGGTAGAAATGCAAATAAATCAGCAATCACAACACGTCAATGATTTAAAATTCTATTCTTGACAGTTAAAGTATCAGATTACACAAAGAAAAAATTACAGTAAACCCCCCAATGCAGTCGAAAATGCACATAAAACTTTTGACTCCCCAAAAACTTAACTTTTAATAGCCTACCGTTAATTGGAAGATTTACTGATAATATAAACAATTAACACATATTTTGTTATACATATTATATACTATATTCTTATAATAAAATAAGCTAGAGTAAGGAAAATGTTATTAAGGCAAAGAAAATACATTTACAACACTGTACTGTATTTATCAAAAAAAAAATCCACACTATCATCTGCTCCCTCAATTACAAGCTAAAAAAAAAAAGTAAAGATTTAGAAGATGCGAACATCATAATTAACAAACTTGGTAAAGGGGCATCTGCTTGGCTCAGTCGTGGCTGGGCATCAGACTCTAGCTTTCAGCTCAGATCATGATCTCAGGAATCCTGAGATCAAGCCCCACATCCATGGCACTCTGCACTCAGTTGGGAGTCTGCCTCTCTCTCTTCTTCTCCCTCTGAACCCCGCCCCCCCGCCCCCCGCTCATGCACTCTCTCTAAAAAAATAAAATAAATAAAATCTTTAAACAAACAAACTTGGTCAAAATGAACACATATAGAACCTTGTATCCAATTAAGAGGATGCACATTCTTTTCAAGCACACAGAACATTAATAAAAACTTACCACATAAAGTCAGTCGCAATATATTTCTAAGAATAAGTGTCACAGAGACTTCTTATATGACTTAAAACTATTAAGTGCCCCCCAAAACTATTAAGTTAAAGGCGATTATAAAACCATATGTTGGAAATTCTTAAACTTAAGAAAGACATTTCTAGGGGTGCCTGGGTGGCTTAGTCAGTTAAGCATCTGCCTTCAGCTTGGGTTACGATCCCGGGGTCCTGGGATCGAGCCCCATGCTGGGCTCCCCACTCAGGGGGAAGCCTGCTTCTCCCTCTTCCTCTGCCTGCTGCTCCCCTTGCTGTGCTCTCTAATAATAAATAAATAAAATCTTAAAAAAATTTTTTTAAAGAAACACATTTCTAAATAATATGAAACAGGAAAATCATAATGGAAGGTTTAAAATACTGAATATTAATTCATATATGCCAAAACATGTCTGCTACAGAAAAAGCATACTTTGTGGGAAATTTATTTCCTTAAATGCTTATAACATTCAAAAAAAAAAAAAGAACAACTGCTGCAAATTGAGGAGCTAAATGTTCAATTAAAAACTACAGCATAAACCAAGACAGTAAATGAAAGAGATGATAAAAACAGAAACTCATAAAATAGAAAAGATAACATTAGAGAGGCTAACCCAAGCCAAATGTTGACTCTTCAAAAAAAGTAATCAGAGACACAAACCTCCAACAAGATAAAGGAGAAGAAGCACAAATCAACAATGCTGTCAAAGAAAAGGGGTGTAATTGTAGCTACAGTGAAGATTAAGGAGATCAAAGAATATCATGAACAATTGAATGCTAAAAAAATCTGATAACACATGAAACAGACAAATTCCTAGGCAACATAATTTAACAAAACTATCTCAAGAAGGAGAGATGAAGTCTAAACCACTCCATAACCATTACAATGGGGACTCAGTAGTCTAAAATCAGCCCATAAAGAAAATACCAGGTCCAGATATTCTATAGGTAAGTTCCACCACCACTCAAGGAACAGACCACAGGAGTACTACAGAAACCCCTCCAGAGAACAGAAGTTGTAACACCCACAACTACTCCTAGGAGGCTACTGTACCTCGATACCAAATCAGATATGGGGAGTGCAAGAATGGACAATTAAAGACTATCACTCATGAGTAAGACCTAAACTAAGCGTTAGTAAATCAAATGGCATATAAAGAAAACTGTGATCAAACCGGGTTCATCACAGGAACAGCATTCATCACAGCACTGGATCTC